AAAAAAAAAACCCTGCAGTTGGCAAAGGTATGTGGACTGTAGAGCTCGGTGTAATCCACTTGTGTGGTAATAAAGTGATTACTGACCAAGCATGTTAAGTTCTGATAATGAAACACTTCCCTTTAGGGCAAGTTTTTGGATGCATGTGGGTGGACTGGGAAGAACACTCAGACATGGGCTTTCAAGAAGGGGCCTAATGCAACTGGCTCCAGAACAGCTCCACTGAAAACATGGCTCTGACAGAGCCCTTGCAGCTGCAGCACAGCTGTTCAGTTTCTGTTCTGGCATTTGAGATAAAGCACTCACAACTGCCTTCCTAGCCTGCAGTATATTTGGGGCATCAAAAAGGGAAATAAGTCCTATATTTACCTGTTGGAACTAGGTACATCATCTTGCCCTACCTCTGCTTTCTGGTAAACGTTCCCACTTCCCAAAACTGAGGGGGGTAAAACAAAGAGCAAGCACAATTATACAAACCAAAGGAGAGTCCCAAATGTTAGAGTATGCTTAGATTGCCTTGCAGCTCTGGCTTAAATCCAGGAAGGGGGACCTTTGCCATTTTACCAAACTAAATGCTTTGTAAGACCTTGGCTTAAGTTTAAACATTAATCGGAGCACTAAATTATACCTGACTGTCCTGCACTGGGAAACAGCAAGTTTCCAGCACCAGTCCTACTATTCAGACATGGAACAACAAGCTGGTCTTTCAAACTCCCACAGCTGCCCCCAAATCATGTCATGCAGTAAGCTTCCTGAATGAGACTGAGGATGGCTTTCAGAGAAACTGTACAGAGATCTAAGATGTGCTTGAATGCCCTGTAAGAAAGAAATTGCATACCAGGTTACTCCATTTGCCTGTACACAGTTCTCTCTTGTCCTTTTGTCATAGAATCGTGCTGGTTAGAAAAGACCTTTAAGATCATTGAGTCCAACCATTAACCCAAAATTACCCAGTCCACCACTAAACCCTGTCCTTAAGCACCTCATCTACACATCCTCTAAATACCTCCAGTGACTCAAGCACTTTCCTGGGCAGCCTGTTCGAGTTCTTGACAATCCTTTTGGTGAAGAAATTTTTCCTAGCATCCAATCTAAATCTCCCCCAGTACACTTTGGGTATTTCCTCTTGTCCTATCACTTGTGACTTGGGAGAAGAGACCAACCCCCACCTCGCTACAACCTCCTTTTGGGTAGTTGTAGTGAGTGAGGAGTTTGCCCCTGAGCCTCCTTTTCTCCAAGCTAAACAACCCCAGTTCCCTCAGCTGCTCCTCATAAGGCTTGTTCTCTAGACCCCCACCAGCTTTGTTGCCCATCTTTGGACATGCTCCAGCACCTCAGCATTTTTCTTGTAGCAAGGTACCCAAAACTGAACGGAGGATTTGAGGTGCAGGCTCACAAGTGCTGAATACAGGGAGACAATCACCTCCCTTGGCCTGCTGGCCACACTGCCTCTGATATCTATGTAGCACTTGACATAGATGTCATCAAGCCTTCAGGATTGGTTTGTTTTGGGGGTTGTTTTTTTATTGTTTGTTTTGTTTTGTTTTTTAAATACATTTAGAAGAGAAGCAAACAAAGGGATAGAATTGTGCAGAGAACACAGTTTGTGTTTATAGCTTTACATTGCTATGATGAAAAAGATGCAGCATCACCTCACAAAAGGCATCTTTAGTCCTCCCTTATTTCTTGCAAGTTCACCTGAACTCAATCTGGCATTTTTAGGATGATTTACCAGAACAAGCCATGCTTCATCGGGCTGTTTGTCAACAAAAGCCACTAACTGACATTAATGAAAAGAGAATTTGCTGTCATGGGTCACTGGGTTTGACTTCAGTGGTGGTTCTGCTTGCCTCCCTCAGATGGAAGTGGGGAGTATCCAGAACACTATGATTGGGATGCTGGACAAGCAGAAGGAGCTCGATGCCAAAGTTAAGGCTGTAAAAAACAGCGTTACAGTAAGTATGGTATAACTATTTCAAGTGGTGTTTGTTGATTCAAACATGTTGAAAAGCTTTCAATACATAAAATAAGCTCTTCTAAAATGAAAAGTGAAAATAAGGTAGTGGTTTGGTTTTCGACTCTATCACCAGTGACTGACTGAAAATAGAAAGTTATTATCTCTCAGTACCACTACAGTACAAATTGGGATTTTACTGGTTTAGCAAAATAAAGCTTCTTCTGCTTAAGTTTTAGCAACAAAACCATTTTACTCATCTGAAATATTAGCAACCAAGGGAAAGCTCTTCAGAAGTCATATAATGACCATTTTGTTAACTAGATTTTTAGGTAACATATAGATGTTTGTCTTAACATACTGTCATGACAGAAGGCTTTTCTCCAGCCACTGCCTATGAATTTGAAAGTTTGTTTAAAATGCTGTGTGCTGTTTGAAGTTTTTCCACTGTAGCCTAGGTTCTCCTAAATTCTGTGAAGTTATACAGCTAGACAGTGAGGGCTTTTCCATATTTTATAATTATCAAGTTTTATTTAGTTGAGAAGAGAGGGAGGGTGAATAGAAGGTGAAGTTTAGGCTTATCATTCTTGTTAGGGTGTTTGAGGAGAAAGCATTGCTGTAAAACTGGACTTCATCTCTGTAAATGGCTGGTGCCAGGCAGTTCCTCATCAGAGGTAGTCTTGCATTACACAAAAGTTTGGAATGATTGTGACCACTTTAATTTGTGCTATCTAGGATGTGGAGCAAGACATCAAGACATTAGAGGATATGCAAGATGAGTATGACTTCAAATGCAAAACCATGCAGAATAGAGGTGAGTGATTTATCAAGGACATACCTTATTGCATACAGTTTGTAAGGTTAAACTGCTGTCTTATGTCAGGAAACTAAACCTAACAGGATGCAGCCAAATTTACTGGTGATGTCCTTCCTTTATTTATTCTGCTTTATGCTGAAACCCAAATTGTTGAAAATGCATTTTCTGCATCTGCCTGTTTTTACAAGAAGAAAGAGAGCCTCTTTTCTTTTCCATGCAGTGTTCCTTTGTCCTTCACATCCTTTTTCTACTAGATACAGCAAACTATATATAATGTTTCCCTGAGGCAGAAGGAACCTCTAACAAAGTCAGCAGGCAGCAGAGGTAGTAGCTAGGGCTGTGTTGGATCCATCAGCCTCGACTACCCTCAGGAGGCTGTAAACATCCTCCCTTGAGCCAACAGCTAACTTCCTCTGCCAGGTTAAGTAATAAGAATGATTCATGTTGAAAGTCAGCACGAGAACAAATTGCTCAGTGTGCATCTTTACACAGTATAATAACAATTTTAAATCAGATTTGTGCTCTGAAAAGACAAGCACACTCACATCTCAGTTGCTTCACTGAGATAGGGGCTTTTCAGTACATTAGTGCTTTAAGCATAGACTCTGTCCTTTCAGAAGGGTAAAGGAAAAATAAAAAAAAATTAAAATCTAGGAGGCAGTAAGTATTTCCTCCCTTAAGCATTAAAGATATACTTGATATTATTCAGGCGGGTCCCTTCGTCCCCACAGTGTTTCCCCTTCTCATACTTCCCTGTTCTTACAAGGTCATGACCTGTTGCACTCCTTCTGCCTCACCTTCACAGTTTGGACTTATTTTACAGAGCATGAGTCCAATGGTATGTCACAGGAGGAATATAAGAAAGAACAGATGAATCTCAACAAGATGTACTTATCACTTGACCTCAAGAGAAAGGTAACACTCTAGTTTTCTTTCTGAAGGCAACAGCACTTCATTGCAAACACATTTGTTTTATCTAATTTATGTCAACCCAATGACAAGAAAACTTTTCTACTACTATCAGTTGAACTGAGGTTTAGTTCTTTCCATCCTGACTGAAAATCTAGAATCTCTGAAAGCAATTAAGTTTCTCTTCTAGCAACCCTTATCAAACTGTCAGGCAAAACTAGAAGAGCAGTGAGAGGGAAAAGTGTCATATCAATAGTCATGTCCTTGAGGAAAATCCAATTTAAAAATGGGCAGCTTTATTAGAGTTAAACATGCTCACTCTTGTTGCAGTGCACAAATCTGGGAGTGATCCCAGATACACACTTGGGATGTACATGGATGTGAGACACTGGCTTTGCACAGTTTAGTGATGCTGAGTGTGCATTGTTTCTAGCTAAAAAGAAGCAGGCTTTTTAGAAAACATCCTCTGTTGACAGAAACTATTACTGTGAGGTCCTTGCAGGGTTTTACAAGACAGATTGCATTAACAGTACTTAGTTTTCCTGTATCAAATATTTTTTCATAAACAGTAATTTAACATTCTCTACAGGAAGTGGTAAACAAGATAGTGCAGCTGCTGCATGCCACAGAGCACACCCAGAGTGCTCTTATTAATGAGGAGCTGGTGGAGTGGAAACACAGACAACAGACTGCATGCATTGGTGGCCCACCCAACGCCTGTCTTGACCAGCTACAGAACTGGTAAGTCTTTAGCCAAGGACTGTATTGGACAGGGAAGTGTTACAAAGAAACACCAGATCTGTGCAATACACTGATGGTTTATATTGTGTGTTTTCATTCTGTCACAGCATACCTACATTTCATTCATTTTATTACCTCACCACATTGCCAACGAGCAACAAGTGTTCTCTGTGCAGTGCCTAGTCCTTAGGGACAGTCACCTGGCTGCTGTCTCAGCATTGGTACAATACAACAACATGCTAAAAGTAATCAGATGGTGTAATTGTAGGTTCACCATTGTTGCTGAAAGTCTACAGCAGGTTCGTCAGCAGCTGAAAAAGCTTGAGGAGCTGGAGCAGAAGTTCACCTACGACTCTGATCCCATCACAAAAAATAAACAAGTTCTGCAGGACCGAACATACAGTCTTTTCAAACAGCTCATCCAGAGGTAACAGACAAGAAGGGTCTCTGTGTTTGTGTGAATAAATGGATGGAGAGCACCTTCCCTTCTGCTCCCTCAGTACTTCCTGCATGCTAACTGTATTTTCTGAGGCTTTCCCAAGTTTGTCACAAATACTGACAAAAAAAAATGTGCTGCAGAGGACTTGAATCTAGGAGGTAAGAGCAGGGGCTTAGATACAGTACAATAGGTAACACCCTGCTGTGGGAGGCTAGAACCCAGGTTTCCAAGGTCCTGTTCAGAAACTTTGACCACTAATCTTCAACTGGAAAACACAGGCACTGCTTTTCAGCAGAGCTAAGGCAGTGAGAAAGAGCTGGAGAAATACAGCTGCTCTTCTGTTACTTTGCAGGAAGGAAAAGTCTCCATGCTGCCTAGGACCTGATAACAGTAGAAATACTTCAGGATTTATGTCTACACAGCACAGTGCCACACAACAGGTGCCCTAGATGACAACAGTCTGGGGCGTACCAGAACAAGTTAGACTCATGAGTTAGCTTTGTAGGGGTCACTAGTCCTCATCAAATCCCCAGATAGCTTATCTAGCTCTTGGGCATGTGTTGTTACATAGTAATGTCACTGTAAGAATTTAGGAAGTGCAGGAAATGGCAAACCAAGCAGCACCCCTCACTTGGGTTATGGTAGTTCCATCACAGTGTTTACATGCTGTGTGATTTCAGAGAATGACAAGGCAGCAGTCTCCCTCCAGCCGTTAATGTAGTTAGGAAAAGCCAACCCTTAGGAAATCACTTGCAGTGTTTCTTGCCCCATTGACACATACGAAAGATACCAACAGACCTCTGTGTAGAATGAAACAGAATGATAAATCAGAAGTGCCTTTAATCTGTTCTTTCCATAGCTCCTTTGTGGTAGAGAGACAGCCTTGCATGCCAACACATCCTCAGAGACCATTAGTCCTGAAGACTGGAGTACAGTTTACTGTAAAGCTGAGGTATGATTTTCCCCTTTACCCCTTGTTTTGTGATAAGCCTTTGCTGTCATTGGCTTCCTACAGCTGAGAGGATTGCACATCTTGCACTGCAGCCCAAGTGCTAAGGCCAGGAGGAGGAAAGTGCCACATGGGAGGGGGACATCTTCTAGCAGAGTTCAACACTCATTCACCTTTTACCAGAAATGAGGGGTATTAAGTGTAGAAGAAACAACCAAGCAGCAGAGACACATGCAGACCACTTTGTCATGGAAAACAATAACTCAGTTGCCCATCTGGCTGTCTCTAAATGCTGTCTTGTGTCGTGCACACTTGGAGCCTGCATGTGGCCCTGTGTTGTGCAGCTTAAATATATCTGTGATAAACCATGTGGTAGAAGAGAACCTGTCTTTTGCAATTGCAGCCATTTAAAAGAAAATTTTTCTCTTTCCAGATTGCTGGTGAAATTGCAGGAACTGAACTACAACTTGAAAGTCAAAGTTTTTTTTGATAAGTATGTTGCATTTTTATCATCTCTGTGTATGTCAATGGTAAGCAGTCCCTGCATTCAGAAACTCAAAAGGCAGTCAGATTTTAAAGTGTTGAGTTGGCCAGGAGCAGGCTGGCTCTTTGTGGCAGCAGGTACATCTGCCTTTCTTCTTCCCTATGCCCTTGCTGTAAATTTCTCTAGTCATGCCTTTTTTTTGGGTAGCCTCTAGTGAGGAATCTAGCTATCCTAAAGCTCTCTTTGAATTACAGGTATAAAAAGTCTACCTTTAACATATAATATATTCCTGAATTAGTGAAAAAAAAACACAGTAACCTAAACAAACTGACCAGTCTTTTGTAAGCAAGGTCAGTTTTTTCTTTTATAAGCAGTACAGTTCAGAGGAATTTAGCACTTAAAGGGCAGGGAAAGAAATGCAACAGGCTCTCTACAATAATGATAGTGGCTGTGCCTTTAAGAAAGCATGTGGGGTTTTGTCTTCCCCTTCAACTCTTTAGGGGCTATTCTGTTCACTTGGAACAGCTCTGGGATCCAAAAACTTGAATAGAATGAGGAAAAAGGAAAAAAAAATTCTTACATGGATCTGGGTTCTGATGCTTTGGAAAGTGCACCAGAGACAATGCAACTCAGTAAAATCCCAAATTGTGGGAAGACAGATCCAAGTGATACAGTAGTTTATTCAACAAATTGTATATTTTGAAAGCAGATTTAGAATGACAGGACTAGGTAATTTTTTCTCAGAGCAAGAATTAAAACCTTTGTAATAAAAGACTTGGATTAAAAAGCCCCCATAGCAAAATTTAAACCTCAGTAAAAGACAGGCTTGTGTAGCACAATTTGACTGCTTGAAGCAATTGCCTCCTCTCTTACCCAAGATTTTGCAGAAGCTACTAAACAAAACATGCACATTTTCTGTCTGTGACAGAATCTTTAAAATATTTGTCTTTTTTTTTGACAGGGATATAAGTGAGAAGAACTCAGTCAAAGGGTATGTGGCATCACAGTTTGATATATTAATGTTGAGTTCTTTCAATGAATGTAAGACTTAGTTCTTTCCTCTCTCTTTGTGAAGGTTCAGGAAATTTAATATTTTGGGAACAAACACAAAAGTAATGAACATGGAAGAATCTACTAATGGAAGTCTAGCAGCAGAATTCAGGCACTTGGTAGGGTTTGGTTTTTTTTCTTCTATTGACACATCCATTTAATTTTGTGAGTAGAGGGTGTGGTAGGAAGGAGACATTGCATTTGTTATTGAAGTCATTGTGTACTTTTGTGTAAGAGGAACTGTGATCCTCTCACTTTCTTCATTCTGCCTTTTTTGAAGTCTTTAGCCCCTTTCAACTGAAATGCTATTGCTTTTGTCACTGAAATAGGGCCAGAAATGCAAACAGTATTATCTGCTGCCATACACTTTATATTGCAATGAGATCTTTGGAAGAGGAAGCAAAAGCAGCCTAGAAATGCTGTTTGGGGCCTCTCAGAGGAAGGTCCATTGGTAGGAAAGCATGGAGTAGTTTAAAAGAACTTTGAGTCTGGAAGATTAAAGTTGTCTAGGATTGGGCAGCTAAAAGAAATTCAGCACCTTCAGCAGACTACACAACACTTTTGATCTGCAGATTGTGAAATGCCATATTGGTTCCATCATTACAGCAGGAAAGGAGAGACACAGGTCCTGAACCAGTGAACATGGAAATCTCCCTTCACTGTCCAGGACAGACACTGTCTGGAGTCAGTTGCCCAGTTCTGAGGGGTACTGTGAGAAATCAGCATTTCATCTGGTCCTTCCTCATTTCTTGCAAGGCCTCTGGCATAAGCCATCGTAACAAAACTTTTTTGTATGAAAGAGTACCAGTTACCTCCAGTTTCATCCTTCAACTTCCACAGCTTAGAACCAACTCAAATCAGACACTAGTCCAGCAAGTCCATCCTCTACCACTTTCATTTGTAGATGAGAAGTGACACGGATTTTTTTTTTGTTCTTTTGCAGCAATTGAAAGAACAGAAAAATGCAGGAAACAGAACAAATGAGGTAAGTAGCACTGACCTTGTCTGCAAAGCTTTTGCATAATGTGGAAAAGGCATTCAGGCATTTAAGACAATGCTCTGCTCAGCCCCATAAAGAAACACACAAGGTGACAGGTCAACAGGAGTTCAGTGTTTCTAGGAAATTACCTTTTTAGGAGGTGTCTACAAATGACAGCTGCCAGAGAGGTGTCCCTCTGGACTCTCTCTCTCTCTGGGATCTAGCTTTAATGGGACTTCCTGTCAAGGACAGAATTTTCTATGGCATTAGGTAGGAGCCAAAAAAAAAAAAACACCCCAAAAAAACCCATTGCCTAGAGGGTACCCACGCTAACAGGCAGCTTTAGGAAGTTGGTATTGTCACTTGACTTAGAGCTGTTTCTGAGGTCTAGAGCAAGTAAACTTGGGCAGAAGAGGTTTTCCCCCTATGATAATTCCCTGTGCCTTCCCCCCAGTTGTGAGTCACTGAAAGATTTTCTTTGTGTGTTTTTTTTTTTAAAGGGTCCTCTCATTGTAACAGAAGAACTTCACTCTCTGAGCTTCGAGACACAGCTGTGCCAGCCTGGCTTGGTAATAGACCTAGAGGTATGTCTTAGATGAAACAGATGGACTTAAATTCCTCTATGTCACTCATGCTATCTAAACTTTTGAAGTATTGGGGTATCCTGAACTTTCAGTGATTTCAAAGTACATGAGTGACACTTCCCAACAGCTCTGTATAGACATGTACAGTGAGAACACTGTCAGATCTCTGGGTAAGCAAGATGTGTTTTGGAAAATGCTGAATAACCAACCATGTGTTTTAAGCTCTCCAGGTATCAGTTTCCAGTTATTTCAGAAGCAACATGCTACAAACACTACTATCAGTGCTGTCATAACTGACACTAAATGAAAGTCTTTATCAGATAAAAATCACTGAAGTCTTTCTAGAACTACTTCATACTGACATTTTCTCCTCTGCATATAAACTTCAAGTGAAAAAGTTAAGACTGGGCCAGCAGGGAGTTAGAGTGGGTTTGTGGCTCATCCAGAGGACTGCAGCAGCAGTACAGCATAGCCTGACATGTCTCCTGATGCATCTCTTTCAGACCACATCCCTTCCCATTGTTGTGATCTCAAACGTGAGCCAGCTTCCAAGTGGATGGGCTTCTATCTTGTGGTTCAACATGCTGTCCACTGATCCCAAGGTATTTGCAAAAAA